TAGCAGTCGTCGATGTAAATAACGACAATAAACCTGATATTATTGTTGCAAACTATGATTCAAACACCGTGGGTGTTCTTCTCAACGCAGGCAATGGCACATTTAATGCTCAAACTAAGTATCCAGTTGGTATTGGACCACGATCAGTAGCAGCCGTCGATGTGAATAGCGACAATAAACCTGATATTATTGTTGCAAACTTTGTTTCGAACACTGTCAGTGTTCTCTTGCATTGTTAAGATTTATCGATGATCAGCCACTATTTATTCATTAACATTTCACTACTCTACTAAAAACATTACGCTTATAAAACATTATACGATGGAAACTGCTATTTAAGTTCGCTCGATATTATGAATTTCAACAAAACATTGTGACTATGGATATTAATGGCAAATACATTAGTATCCATACATTGGACAGTCATTCATTATTTTATAATACTATTTCCAGTTATGGAACTTTTCTGGATGCATAGAACTATATGTATTGCAATTACTCAAAGTGCAAAACAATATAGCAAAGTTTCATAGGCTACAATATTTTTCTGTGATCTATTCAAAACAATATCATTCATTTTGAACAATCAATAAAATTCTCGCTTTAAAAATAAATGACCTACTGCTGATTCTTTGAGAGAAAGTATACTTGAATATGTGACTAGTATGATGGTAAAGAAGGAAGTTACTCTTACACACTGTTCTAAAAATTGTTCAATGAAAATTCAAGTATCTATTGAAAAATACCTAATATCTTTTAGTCTACTAGATATCTATCAATATAAATACAAATTATGATAAACCACATCAATAAAATAGTTTTTCTAATTTAATTAAAAATTTTGCCTCTTTTTTACTATATGTTTAGTACATAAGATAATACTAAAGACTTATTATTAATTCTTAGGCAACGAAACCGTGCAGATGAGTAGACTTTCTTTGTTTTTTCAATGCAGTTTTGAAATATTCTAATCAGAGAAATAAATCAACAATGATTTGAATGTATTCTAATGTACAGCTTTACAAAAATTGAAAATTTTTGATTTCATCGATCTTCGATATCTATTAGTTACATCCATTCCCCCTTGATTATAAGAATATTTTATCAAATAGAGTTGTAGTTCAATTTTCATTAAGAATTACTTTGGATTTATTGGCAAATTAGCAGTAGTTTTGTCAAAGATGTTTAAAAAATAATTGTATTTCATTGAATATGAATGCAGTTTTAACACAACGAGTAAAATGATCTAAACAATAATAGTTGTACACAATCACTACATAATTATATCTATAACTCAGTCAACGATGTTTATAATTCATTTTTCTCGAATATAGACACATCCAATATTGTAAAGCATACAATTATAATCTTTTTTTACTTTTTATAAAAGAAAGCAATATTTGTAATAAGAACACTGAAACGATGAGAGCTCGTGAGAATGAACGAAAGTAAATGCAAATGAAGAATTATACAACCAAGTTTTATTATCATTCGTAATCACATCTAGACTCGAACATATATCGTGAAAAACAGTTAATCATCAGTCTCAATAATGGACAATTGTATAGAATAATGTTCTTTCTTTTCGTTTCAGTTATCTCGAAGTGTGAAAAAAAATAAAATCCATAGTTAAAATTGTGTTTTTATGACACTTTCTGTAAACGAGGTCGATCTTGACATATCCATCTCACATTGAAACGAGTATTTTTTAATTGATAGATCTCTTTCTTGTTAACAGTATATACACAAACAATATCATGTACAGTATTATTGTATATAAAGTAGTTTATTTGTAGACTTGAAAAACGTGTCCATTATGCACGCGGTAAATAACAATTATGCGTTGTAAAAACATAAAAAATATCCGATTGGTATAAGATCATGCTAATACCTGGTAAGCAAGAAAGAACAAAAGCAACTATACACATATGTATATATAAGATTTTGACATTTCGTGTAAAAGAATCAATAAAAGAACACAAAACTTTTTGAATAATTACAGAAAAATTAATTGGAATAAAAATATTCAAAATCAGCAATCACATGCATCACAATCACAACCACCACAATCACCACAATTATCGCAATCACAACCATGGCATAAATTGCAATCTGATTCACAGATCGCGCATAAACAAAAACAACAGCAAAAATAAGCTAAACAATCACAAAGATTTGATGCATGCAAGGCTGCTGATGCACTCTGCGGACGGCCATGTGGTTTTGGTGAAGAATCGATTCCATTATTAACAAATTCAGGTTGTTGAGTTACTCGATATTGATTAGCTCGTGATGGATCGTTTATAGTGTTTGACATTGTATATGTATTCTTTGTGTCAAATCAAGATTTATATTTGAGATGAATGAAAAAAGAACGTAGAGAACATGTTCTTCTATGCTATACTATTGATTCTACATGTAGAAAATGTTTATCGAGTATGTTTTTGAGTAGAACATAAAAAAAGTAAATCTTACATCAATATGATGACAGGAAAAAAGAAGAGAACGGATTCCTTTTTTTGCTAGCCAATCAGCTGTTAGTAATTCAAAAACTAGAGTGACATATATATATATTGATATATTATTATTCTACTGTGAATATCATTAGATAAGAAACAAAAGTCTTAAAAAGAGTATTTTTAAATGTTATTTCTTCTGAATAATTTGCAGCCATTCGGGTAAAAATTCCATTTTAAAACGAAATTTTGCATCTTGTTCATAATAAATTGGAAATGCTGTATTCCAAAGATTATTATGAAGATTTATAAATAATCCATTATTATTTATTCCTTGGCAATCAGGTATTGAGTTATCAAAATTTAATAAATAATCTGATGAACCAATTGAAAGTAATGGTGCATCTAATGAATAAAGAGTAAATAATGGTATTTCACTTTTATCATCATAAAAACGTACACCATTATGTCCAATTGCATGTAATCGTCTTGATCCATAATCAACTATCTTAGATGGATTAACATCATAACCAAGTACATCAATTTTCCATTGATCACATGTATTTGAAATAACAGGTAATATTGGATTAAATTCAATCCAAATCGATTCTGGTAAACGTGTTGCTGTTTTATTAAACCATTGTAATTCTATAGAAATTGTTGGTTTAGATTCAATAGTAAATGTATAATTTAACCATATTGTTTTACTTCCACCATAATCTTCGATAATTTCATTCGGAAATGTTAATTCAATAAGAAATGTTTTATTTATATTATCTTTCCACATTGAAATAACATATGGATATGATGTTTGACTTGGAGAATTTGTTAAACCAGGTTTAGCAAAATCACCACATGGTGGGCCACAATTTGGATTATATTGTAAATTAAAACGATCAAAATCATCATTGGAATATGTTTTATATTGAATATTACCTAATGTATTATTTATATTTGAAAAATTTCTTCCTTGATTATCTTGAAGAAAAACAATTGCACCTGATGTATAATTAAAACCAACAGAAAATAATGTTGTTTGAAATAAAAAATAATCTTTTGTTCGATTTATTGGTAGAGAAATTGGAATAAATTGACTTAAATCAGGAATTGATAATTCAAGTTCTTTTAAAGTATTATTAATACGATTGATTAATGAAGGATCAGATGAATTAAGTGGATAAAGATATGATCGAGCTTCTTTCCATCCTTGTTCTAATAATTGAAAATCACTACCATTTCTAACATGTGAAAATTCGTCATTATGATAATTAAATGCATAATTTTCTTTTTTTAAATAACATCCTGTGCATAAACCCCAATTATGTTCAGGATTTTTTAATAAACGAAATGTATAATTAAATAAAGACGATGAAGAATATTCTTGTTCATTTAATAATCTTGATATTTGTCGATATGCTGATTGTTTATATGGATCAGCAGCTACTCCGTATAACCATGTTGTTCCCCATTCATCTGTTATTATTGGTAATTGATCTGTATATGATTCTAATAACGACTGACTAAATGTTTCAAGATTACTTGCAATAATTTCTGCATTTGGATAATGTGTTTGAATTTGAGACCAAACTCGAATAACATCAGTTATATTATGAGGTGGTCCTGTATTATCTAATGTAAAATGATAGATCATTGCTTGATCAAAACCTGGTAAAACAACATCACCACCATAAATACATGCTTCAGCTGAACATGGTGTTGTTGCCGTTGGTTTATTATACATCATAACTAAAAGTTCCGTATTAGTTTCTTCATGTTTCCATATAAATGCAGGTGGCAGATCAGCTCCATGACAATTAAGATTAACACCAATATGAACTGATTTTATTCCATTATCAGCAAATATAGGTATAGTGCTTATTGGATGACCCATATCATCTTTATGTGATGCACTTGTTTTTCTATTTTGATAAAAACGATCATCTAATATTGATGATATACTTAATGATATATTAAATAAATTTTTATCCATCATTGGAATAAACATTGAAAATGCATGTGCATGCCATGTTATATCACCTTGTTTAATTGCTTTTTCAACTAATTCAATTGTTGTACGATTTGGTCGTTCATTCGTACACTGTGCAATATTATCAAAAAATTCTAATAGAATCCATGGATGTGTTGTAAAAATAAAACGTTCATTACCACCACGATCACGAAGTTCTTGTGCAAGACGTGCAGCATTTGGTAAATGTTCATTAAAATATAATGAACAAACATTTGCTGCAAAATTTGTAAAACCAACATCTAAATGTGTCATTGAAACTACATGAACTTGTTTTATCCATGGATAAATTGTAGTTGTTGATGAATTTAATCTTAATAATTGATGATAAACTAAGAATAAAAATAGACAAAATATAAAACGAAACATGATCGTTTGACTTGCAACAATTTGCTGTGCATTGTTAACAACTATTGAATTAAGATAAGAACGATAAAAAAACGTCTTCATTGTATTAGATAAGAATTGATAATATTTTACATACTGAGCGATTCATATATATATATATATATATTTAAATCTAACTAAAATATAAACAAGAATCCTATATTATAATGTTCAGTGTGTGTCTGTGACGAGTCTAATAAAGCATGAGTATAAGCGACTTTTTGATTGTTTATTATCGAGTCAAGGTAAAAACAAAGGTATAAAACTGTACTTGAAAGAAAATCAACCGTGTAGTAGCACGTGCTCTTGCTATTATAGTATAATCTAGGATGATGCTTAGAATTCAGATATTGATCCATATAAGATCTATGAATTTGTGTAATATATTATAATGATTACAAATTCAGAACATATTTATAAGCCACCAAAAAACACTCATGAAGTAGTAATAGTCATTTAATTATTATAAAAAAATGAAATTCAAATATTTTCTATAAAATAGAAATCTTAGCTGATATCTATTTTATTTTATTTATTTTTATCTGAAGTTGTTAGTATCAGAAAAAATCAATTCTTTCCTATACATTATATTAAACATAAACAAAAAATTTCGTTTTTTTTCCTATAGTTATTTATTACAATGAAGTCAACGATTGTCTATATGTTTGGATTGTTCGAAAGATATTCCAAATTAAAATAACCATAGTTAATAACAAAATATTTAATGGTAAATTATTTCCACCAATAGTAAAACGTAAGAAAACATAGATGATTAGTAATACAAGTAAAGTACGTATATCAGTAAAATGACGAAAATTTATTTGTGGTGTACGTATGGAATGAAATCGTTGATCATTTGGACCATAGAATAATTGACGAAAGAATGCACCAAGAAAACCTTGACGATTATATAATGAATTGATTTTATCGGCATACTAGAAAGTGAAAATTGAAAGATTAATAAAAATAGAATAAAGACATACTCGAAGATTAATATTTTCTGATAATTGCCGATTGAACCAAAGTAATGGACGAAGTTCAAATGGATTTGGTGGAGATAATATTGGATTTTCAAGTTCATAAGGAGAATAGGAAACATTTAATGATGATTCTGTGATTGATGTTGATAAAGACTGACACTTTATTGGAAATGTTGTATTTAATGAATGTGTTAAAGATGGTTCATCTTCATTTATTGTTGTATCAAATATATTTGGATCAATCTAGAAGAAGAAGGAAAATTTTTAATGATTTATTTCTAATTATTTAAATTTACTTGAAAAAGTTCCATAAATTTATTTTTCGTATTTGTTAATTGTTCGACAATATCTGTTGGTAAAAGTGGTTTTAATTGAATTGTTTTTGTTAATGATTCTGAAGGTGTTATGTATGGAATTTTATATAGAAGTCGTTTTAATAATTCACGAGCATTCGTTGATACAATTTGTGTTGCTTGTGATAATCTTTGTTTTTCCTGTTCAGTTATACGATTATTTTCTTCAATACGACGTTCATTTTTTTTGTATAACACATGAAATTTTACGTAAACAACCTAACATGAT